AATCATTTATCATCATGGATTGACTTTCTTTATCATTGAAAATATCCCATGATCCTAAAAGTATTCCATGATCTGTTTGCTAATGTAGCTAGTCAAGTTTCGCAGATGACTAATGTGTATTTCTTTCTCCATATTTCAATTTTCAAGCTATTATATTCAACTGAACTTCATTTAGGGAGCCTATACTTGGGTCTTGCTTTTTGATTCAATGTTATAATCTCTCTGCCTTGTAATTGAGTTCCTTATACCATTTACATTTAATGTAATTAATGAAATAGCTAAGTTTAAATTAATCTCCTAGTTAGGTGTTTCTATCTGTTCTATGTTCTGTTTTTCCTCTTTATCTGCCTACTTTTGCATCAGTTTCTTTTCCACGATCCCATTTTATTTTTTATGGGTTAATTATAGCCCTATTTATTTAACTTTAGTGGCTTCCTTAGGTTTCATGGTATATATTTAAATTTATCACATTTATCTTCAAGTGATATTGTACCATGTCAAATGGTGTATTTCCATTTCACTCTCCTACAGTTGTACTACACTTGCCACACATTTAACTTTAAAAGCTATAAACTGTATGCTACATGTTTAGTATTTTTGCTGTAAAAAAGTCATTTATCTTTTAAAGTGACTAAACAGATTAAAAATCTGTATACATTTAACCATGTAGCTTTCAATTCTCATGTTTTCATCTTCTGTGTTGATTCAAATACCCACTTAGTAACATTGTCTTTCTCCTAAAGGACTTTTTCTATATTTCTGGTAGTGTGGATCTGCTGGTGATGAATTATTTCTGTGATTCTATGTCTAGAGTCTTTATTTCACTCTCACATTGGAAAGATACGTTCACTGTGCAAAGAATTCTATGCTGACACTCTTTATCTTTCAGTACTTCAAAGAATTTCTCCGTTCTCTTGTAGCATATGTTGTTTCTAATGATAAAACTACTGACAATCTTTTCTTTTAAAAATTTTATGCATTTATTTGAAAGGCAGAGTTGCAGAGATATAGAAGCAGAGGGAGGGGTCTTCGATCCAAAATTGACACAATGGCTGGAGCTGGGGCAACCCAAAGCCAGGAGCCAGTAATTTTTCTGGGTCTCCCAAAGTGGGGATTTTACCTTAAAACACTAGAACAGAAAAGTAAATCTTAAGAAACTGGAAGGAGGAAAAATATACAAACTGATATAAATCCAATGGAATAGAAAATATCACAACAGAAATTCAGTGAGACCAAAATACTATTCTTGAACACTCAGTGACATGGACAAAATGTTTATCTGCAGGAAACAAGGGAAAAAAGGGAACAGACTCAAGTGACTTCACAACAGAAACGACAGAGAGGACACGATTACCTACCTTACCAAAATAATAATCAGAAAACACTATGGAAAAGCCAAGGCACAAGGATTTGGTCAATGTTGATACAGTGTGGACTGATTCTCAGAAAGACATAAACCACTAAAACTGAATACAGTAAAACAAGAAACCCTAAATACACTCATAATTTGAAAAGAGACTGCAGTAGTGGGAAACAAACACACATGAAGAAAACTCCACGAACAGACGGCTCCACCGGTGAAAACTCCCATTTAAAGGATAATTAAAATCCGTTCTTTCCACACCCTTCCAAAAAGGAGATGAAGAGGAAAAACCTTTCCTTTGTATTCCATCAGACCAGCGTTATCCCAACATCCAAAACAAGCACACATCATAAAGAAAATGGCACACAAATATCCATCATGAATGTGTCACATGCCTCAATAAAATATTACCAAATGCCATCCAGGAGCACAAACAAAGCTTAGCACACTGTGTGCAACTGAGTTACTCCGGGAATGCAAGGATGGCTACCATACCAAAGCAATATATCCCGGAACAGAATCCACATGGGAAAAGCCACAAAGTATCCCGATAGACACAGAAAACCTATTTCACAAAACCTTCATTACTTTTGCGGTATTAAAAAAATAAAATCATCAAATTAAGAACAGATGGTACACCTGGGCCTGACAACGGTCTTTCATAAAAAACCCACAGAGCACTAACAGCACACCAAACGTGAGTAACCGGAAACTGCCCTCCTAGACCAGGACACAGACACACATTCTCGCTCTCGTTCCTCCCAACAACACTCTCAGAGGTCTAGAGCAGGGCGGCTGGGCCTTCAAAAAGCAAACAGACGGGAACGTGGGGCAGTTCCTGGAGGAGATGGAGCCATCTCTGCTCTCACACAGCTGCTTACACCCTGGGGACCCTTCCAGACCTGCACAGCACAACTGCGACTCCACCTGAGCCTTCGGGACCAAGAGCAACAGGCACGCTGGCACCCAATCCCAGCGGGAAGCCGCAACAGCCATGCGTCACTCACCTCCAAGGGGGCCCAGTCTGCTGGCGGGATAGAGGTCTGCCAAGGCCGTTGCTTCCGGAAGGGGCTGAAGAAGAGAACCGCACCTGGGAAATGGTGCGGCAGCCTCAGACATGCAGCCTCTCCTGATCCTGGCCTGACCTTGGAGCCGCTGGGTCTCCCTCAGTCTTGGCCAGCAGCGTCAAGCACGGCTCCTCACAGCTTGTGCAGGCTCTTGGGCAGCAGTAGACGCGGTGCTGACTCCCACAAGAGCGCTGGTGGGCAGTCGGGGTACGCATGCGTGCGTGTGTACTTGCGGGTCAAAGTGCAGGACGCAGGTGCAGTCTCACTGGCCGTCACCATGGCGCCACGGGACACATCTGCGCACTGCCGCATCCAGCGTCATTCTGATGCCCAGGCCCACTTCAGTCAGCTTCTTCTGCTCCTGGTGTGACACAGCCAAGGTGGTGCTCGGCCCAAAGCTCAAACCCTGTCTCCGCGTGAGTGGCAGGGACCCATGGAGCGCATTCACAGGAAGCTGGATCAGAAGAAGAGGAGCCTGAACTCAAACCAACTCCAGTGTGGGATGCAGGCATCCCACTGTGCCGGATGGCTGCAATGTCCATCTGTTAACCAACGTCTCCCTCAACACTCATGTATCCATTTCACACACAGATCTACTTCCATCTGAAAAGGAAAGGGGCAGGGAAAAAAGAAAAAAAATTAAACAAAGAACATTTGGCTTTCTCCAACACACGTTCTCTATGAACACATTCTCTACCCTGCCTCAGACGTTATCTCCCAGGATCTCTGTGGACAGGAGGGCCCTGCAGGGACAGCGATCCCAACAAGGAAATCTCCTCCAGCCACCAGAGTCACCTTCCCTGCCTCCCTGCTCCTCGAGCAGCCAGGTTCAGCCCGTTGTGGAAAAAGCCCAGCTGTGTGAGTCATTACAGCCATCCCAAGGGGCCTGCTCAAAATCCAGAGTACAGCTGGAAACAGCTGTCATGAGATCAACTGCCACTGGGAGGGATGGCAGAAAAAAAGGATGAATTCATTTATTACCACATGAGCCCCTCTGGCCTCAGAAAAGCTGGTTTTCATTTTCTCTCTCCAACAAAAAAGAGTCTTTTCCCATCTTACTTAGGATTCTTCTAATGAGCAAAGCAGCACGTGACTCACCATGGAAGACTCCCTCAGACTAGAATCCAATGGGGGACACCCCCACCCCAGGCATCTCCTGAAACACAGGAGAAATGAAACTCCATCAGGAGAGGAAAGAATTATTAGGAAGAAGCTATAAATGCAGATACCTCTGACTTGAATAAACTCTTAAAGAAAAAAAAAAAACAGCACCAAGAAACATGAGGCGGCTGAGATCAGCAGAGAGAGAGGTCCAGGGCAGAGGTTCCTCCTGGTTCCTACGTGCCCATGACATCAGGAACACTCTGCAATTAAGGAAGACACGCACAGGGTGTTTCTGTGCACAACTAGAAGGCACTCAGCCTCCGGACTTCTAAGTCCTCTCCCATGGGTCTCCTCACCCATCAACCTGAGAGGTCCTGAAGAAAACAGGGCTGAGGCCTGGTCCAGGTGCGGAACTGACATGAAGAGCAGATGCTTCTCCTCAACAGAAACGTCTGTGTCTGATGGGGATGAGAAGACGGCTCACCCGGCACTTGGTGCAAAGCAGCCTTGATTTCATGGCTCTGGCAGCAGGAGACAGGGAAATCGGCGCATTCCTCGGCTGCATGACACCCAAACGTCCATCAAGTCCCAGGCTCACACCTCAAATGATGCCATCAACACACCCCGGGGGGCTCAGCCATGGGGTCTTTCAGTCAGCTCCAACAGTGACACGAGGCAGCAGTCCCCGCCCTTCAACTGTCCAGCCAACCACACAAGGGAGAGGAGGAACGGCTGCTCGGGAGAGGTCCAGAGATACTTGCTGCACCCACCCACCACCAGGGACACACACCCCGTTCCTCACGCAGAGCACTACAATTCCAAAGGGCTCCACACATTCCCTCCTCTGAGTGTCGTCTTCTCACAGCAGAATTGTGTTATTCTCACCAGTACAAAGCAGTTTCTATGACATCATGCTGCAAGACCTCGAGGCCGCTGTGGAGCCTGTGTGAGCGGGAAGGAAGTGAGGCAGGAGGAGGGAGTGGAGAGGAAAGTCTGAGGCAGCTTTGGGGCCAGAGGAGAGCTTCCCTTCACCTCTCAGGTTTAAGATTACACAATTAATGGGAATTTCATTTAAAAAGAATGCAATCATTATTAAAACTTTTCTAGTTGCCTCGGCTGTCATTGTTTCTCATTTCTAAGTGTAAAACAAAAATCTAGAATTTTAAAATGTATTCTCTTTTTTCACCAGCAAGATATCAAGGTAATACCTTATACCATATTTTTTTTTTTTGACAGGCAGAGTGGACAGTGAGAAGAGAAGAGAGAGAGAGAAAAGGTCTTCCTTTGCAGTTGGTTCACCCTCCAATGGCCCCGCGGCCAGCGCGCTGCGGCCCGCGCACCGCGCTGATGATGGCAGGAGCCAGGTGTTTCTCCTGGTCTCCCATGGGGTGCAGGGCCCTTGGGTCATCCTCCACTACACTCCTGGGCCATAGCAGAGAGCTGGCCTGGAAGAGGGGCAACCGGGACAAAATCCAGAGCCCCGACCGGGACTAGAACCCGGTGTGCCAGCGTCGAAAGGCAGAGGATTAACATAGTGAGCCATGGCGCCAGCCACCTTATGCCATATTTTACAACATCAACATTCAGTTAGTTGGGTTCAACTGCTTTACCAGCTCCCCAACTAAGTCAAGGCCAGGGCCCTGTCCTGGGCACCCTAGGTGCGACCCTGCCCCTTGCCCGGCTCCCCAGCTTCGGCAGGCAGGGCGAGGGCCCCACCCTGGGCACCCCAGATGCAACCCGGCTCCCCCGTGCCTGGGGCCCCAGGCCTCGCAAGCCCTCTAAGTGCCCTGCAATGGCCACCACAGTGGGGACCCCACCACCTGCCCGGTTCCCAAGCCCCTGCTGGCATCCCAGACGAACCCATGCCCCTGCCGGGGGCCCCAGCCCCTGCAGCACAGCGAGGGCCCGCAGCCACAGCCACAGCCAGGGCCCCGCCCTGGGCAACCCAGATGCAACCACGCTCCCCACCCGCATCCCAGCCCCTGCAGGCACCACGAGATTCCCGCTCTGGGCAACCCAGAGGCGACCCCGCCCCGTTCCCAGGACCCAGCCCCAACAGGCATGGTGAGGACCCTCAGGCACAGGAGGGACACTCCCTGGGCATGCTATACGTACCACGTCCCTGTCCAGATCCCCAGCCCCTGCAGGCACAGCGGGGGCCCTCCCTAGGTACTCCAGACGGGACCCCGCCCCATCCGCCCAGGTCCCCAGCCCCTAAGGCACAGAGAGGGCCCCACCTTGGGAACCCAAGACGCGACCCCGCCCCGCCTGCCTGGGGCCCCAGTCCCTGCGGCAAAGCGAGGGCCCTGCCCCGGGCACCCTAGGCACGACCCTGCCCCTTGCCCAGCTCCCCAGCTTCGGCAGGCAGGGCGAGGGCCCCACCCTGGGCACCCCAGATGCAACCCGGCCCCCGTGCCTGGGGCCCCAGGCCTCGCAAGCCCTCTAAGTGCCCTGCAATGGCCACCACAGTTGGAACCCCACCACCTGCCCGGGTCCCAAGACCCTGCTGGCATCCCAGACGAGGCCATGCCCCCGCCGGGGGCCCAGCCCCTGCAGCACAGCGAGGGCCCGCAGCCACAGCGAGGGCCCCCCCTGGGCAACCCAGATGCAACCACGCTCCCCACCCGCATCCCAGCCCTGCAGGCACCCCGAGATTCCTGCTCTGGGCAACCCAGAGGCGACCCGCACCCTACCCGGGTGTCCACAACTGCAGGCAGTGGGAGGGCCCGCAGGCACAGTGAGGGAGTGCAGTTGCAAGGGCCCCCTACCCCCCGGGTCAAAAGCCCCTGCAGCATGGTGAGGGCCACACCCTGGGCACCCCAGATGCAACCCGGCTCCCCCACGCCTGGGGCCCCAGGCCTCGCAAGCCCTCTAAGTGCCCTGCAATGGACACCACAGTAGGGACCCCGTCATCTGCCCGGGTCCCCAGCCCGGCAGGCACAGCAAGGGACGCTCAGGCACTGGGAGGGTCCGCCCTAGGCACCTCACACCGACCATGTCCCCCGCCGGATTCCCCACCCCTGCAGGCAAAGGCGAAACCCGTCCTGAGCACCCCAGACTCGACCACCACTCACCTGGGTCCCAAGTCCCTGCAGGAATGGCGAGAGCCCCGCCCTGGCCACCCTGAAGGGACCCCGCCTCCTACCTGGGTCCCCACACTGCAGGCAGGGCAAAGGCCCCGCTCTGGGCACCCAGACACAACCCCGCCCCCTGCCCTGGACCCCAGCCCCTACAGGCATGGCCAGGACTCTCAGGCACTGCGAGAGCCCCGCCCTGGGCACCCCAGATGCTACCTCCCCCTGCCCGGATCCCAGCCCCTGCAGGAATGCGACAGCCCAGCCCTGGCCACGCCAGATGGGACCCCGCCTCTTACCCGGGTCCCGACCCCTACAGGCAGGGTGAAGGCCCAAAACTGGGCACCCCAGAGGTGACCCCGCCCCCTGCCCAGGACCCCAGCCCCTACAGGCATGGCGAGGACCCTCAGGCACAGCGAGGGCCCTCCTGGGCACGCAGGACGCGGCCATGCCCTCCGCCCAGATCCCGGACCCTGCAGGCATGGCGAGAGCTCCGCCCTGGGCACCCCAGATGCTACCTCCCCCCGGAATCCCGGCCCCTGCAGCAATGGCGACAGCCCAGCCCTGGCCACGCCAGATGGGACCCCGCCTCCTACCTGGGTCGACCCTTACAGGCAGGGTGAAGGCCCAACACTGGGCACCCAGAGGCGACCCCGCCCCCTGCCCAGGACCCCAGCCCCTACAGGCATGGCGAGGACCCTCACGGGGCACGCCAGACGCGACCACGCCCCCCGCCCAGTTCCTGGCCCCTGCAGGCATGGCAGAGCTCCACCTGGGCACCCCAGGAGCAACACACCCCTGCCTGGATCCCAAGCCCCTGCAGACATGGCGAGAGCCCGGCCCTGGCCACCCAAGACGCGACCCCATCCGGGTCCCCAGCCCCTGCAGGCACAGTGAGAGCCCTGCCCTGGTCACCCCAGATGGGACCCCGCCCTGTCCGGGTACCCAGCCCCTGCGGCACTGCGAGAGCCCCACCACGGGCACCTCAGATGCCTCCTCCCCCCACTCGGTCCCAAGCCTCTGCAGGCACTGCGAGAGCCCTGCCCTGGACACCCAGACACTACCGCCCCACCGCCCGGATCCCCAGACCCTGCAGGCACAGCGAGAGCCCCGCCCTGGGCAACCCAGACGCGGCCTCCCCCCACCCCCGCCCAGTTCCACGCCCCTGCGGAATGGCGAGAGCTCCACCCTGGACACGCTAAACTCCGCCCAGCACCCACCTGGATCCCAAGCCCCAGCATGCTGGCCGAGAGGCCTGCCCTGGGCACCCCAGACGTGACCCGTGCCCTGCCTGGGCCCCCACAGCTGCAGGCAGGGCGAGGGTCCCGCAGGCAAAGCAAGAGGGGCGCAGCAGGGTCCTGGCCCTGGGCACCCAAGACGTGACCCCAACTCGGCCGCCAAGGTCCCCAGCCCCTGTGGCACAGTGAGAGCCCCACTATGGGCACCCAGACGCCTCCTCCCCCCACTCGGTCCCCGCCCTGGACACCCCAGACACTACCGCCCCACGGCCTGGATCCCCAGCCCCTGCAGGCACAGCGAGAGCCCCGCTGGACAACCCAGACGCGGCCGCCCCCCCCCCGCCCAGTTCCCACGCCCCTGCAGGAATGGCGAGAGCCCCACCCTGGGCACCCCAGAGGCGACCCCGTCCCGTTCCCAGGACCCCAGCCCCAACAGGCATGGTGAGGACCCTCAGGCACAGGAGGGACACTCCCTGGGCATTCCATACGCGACCACGTCCCTGCCCAGATCCCCAGCCCCTGCAGACACAGCGGGGGCCCTCCCTGGGCACCCTAGACGGACCCCGCCCATCCGCCCGGGTCCCCAGCCCCTAAGGCACAGAGAGGGCCCCACCTTGGGAACCCAAGACGCGACCCCGCCCCGCCTGCCCGGGGCCCCAGTCCCTGCGGCAAAGCGAGGGCCCTGCCCCGGGCACCCTAGGCGTGACCCTGTCCCTTGCCCGGCTCCCCAGCTTCGGCAG